TGAACAAGAGGAAATCTGTCAACGGTTGACGGTAATGCCAATTCAAACATTTCTTTCTGGAGGGGAGGGGACGAGAAGAGGATTGAGGGGAGGGAGTGACTGGACAATTGAAGTACTCATGGGTTTTGTGATTCGGAGGATGGTGGCAAAAGCCCAACAAGAAGAACCCAGTCGCTGAAACTGAGAAGCAAGACCAAGAGCTGTCTCGGTAAAAGGAGAAGCAGATCTGAATGTGACTTACATGGCCGAAGGAGACAGACGAGTCTCGGCGCCTCGAGGGAAGCATGACATCACTCGAGCCAGTTTTGGCTCGTCGGGACACATTAGAATAGATATTGTTGGACTGATGGATTAAGGGCGGAGTGTTGTGCCATCCAAGTGGGACGTTCTCCCAGTGGCAGCTGAAGGAACTGCACCGGTCTCGGCGATTGCTAATAGCCATCCTTCGAACTCCGACACCCTGCCCGGCTCCGATGAAAGTAGCGACGCCTGCAGGAAGGAGGCCGACAACAGCAATCGGCACCTCCTCTGCCTAGATACCCAGACAAACACAAAGATGGGTACTGAGCCAAGAGATAGGATGGCTCTCCGATCAGCCTCACAAAGGTGGCGGCAATGGGCTCAGGCCACTCCGCAGGCAGAATGGGAGGATTGGTTCTCCTTCCTCAGCCGGGCTTGGTCATCTTCCACCAACAAAGGAATCCCATGAGGGCTGTGATGAGATTAAGCACGCCTGAGCTGGCATACAGGGAAAAGGGCCACCTATCATCAACGGCCGTACTACGAGCAGAATAAAGCAGCACAGTTGGGCTTCTGATTTCTCTGGAAAGATCTAAGGGCCACTTATCAGTCAAGCGGTGGCACCTTGTACATGAAGGGTGCTCAAAGGATCATGTGGATCCCGGCGGTCAAGCCGGATGATGTGGGAAGTAGACTCGCTGAACTGATGAGCTGGTAAGCTGGTAACCGGTAGGGTGCTGGTCCGTTGTTGCCGAACTCGAGACTTCAAGGGAGCTCCTCAGCTGACGAGAGTAGCAGATTCATCAGGCTTTTGTTCTGGCGTTTATCTGTCTGAAAGGTGAGTCTGATCTTCTTGACTCAATGGAATCCGACCAAATTCACGAAAAAAAAACAAAAACAAAGGGATCCTTGGATGGCTAGATGGAAGTGGTCAAGTTCTCAATCAGCTTAATATTTAACGACTCGCTTGGAGTTACGATTGAAGTCTCTATGTGTTTGTGCATTGCCCTCCTCGACTCCCAAGTTTGACTGTTTCTTTTTAATTTTCGATACATATATTTAAATATTTAATTACTTCTTTGATAATCTGATGATGATGATGATGATGATGATTGAGGACGAATTCCGGTTGCTCGTCGGACTGGTTGAGCCATTCGAAGACTTGGATCTCCAACAATCCGAGCAAGGTCAGTCGTCCCTTCCTTCCATTGATGATGTGCCTCTGAAAAACTCATCCCTTTGTTGCCCTCGCCCATTTGCAGCTCGGCTCCTCCAGGCCCTCAAGAAGCTGCGTCGAAGGAGCACTAGGAACAACCGAGCACTGATCAGTTTGACGCCCCATCCGGCAGATTCGATAGACCGATCCAAGATAATCAGGAACAGAGTCCGATGGCATCTTCGGACCGAGCAGTTGCCTCTCCTGCGCGACCAGCTCCGTCGACTCTCGCTGGCTTTGGATCCATCCTGTCTGCCTGAACAGCCAAACCCACAGTTCCGAGAGGCTCTGAAGGTCTTATCGGAGATGGATGAATCGGTCGACCAGATCAAGGCTTCCGCTGACTCCGTTTGGGAGTCCCACACACCCACCGAGGATTCCGATCCAGAAAACATCGAGGACTTGACCGTCCATCGGTGTCTTCTCGTAGTCTCTCATTGTAAGAGCGTGCTCATCGAACTCTCGCGGACGATCGAATCCTACGAGCGTTTCTTCTCAGTCTTGGTCCTCTCAGATGGAAAGATCTCCGAGGCAGACCAGCCAGTCGATTATCTACAAGAGTTCAGGAAGGAGAGCATCCCCAGAGCGGTAGAACGGGAGCTGAAGTGGATCGAAAGCTTGATCGGCTGGCTGGCACTCTCCAACCTCGTCGTCCTCGAGGACGAATGGCGATCGATGGTCTCGACCATCGATGAGACCTTAGCCGACCTGCTCGATTTCAGCAACGCAAGCTCGATCAATCAGGATCCCGAGAAAGCGACGATCAAACGCCAGATCGAAGCCTTCATCCCGCTCGTCAAGCTATCTCGAGTGCTCCTCAACAAGCTCTCTAGGTCCACCAACAGTCCGCCCCGGCTAACCTCAGGGATCTCCTTGGAACTACTCGACCGCTTGCGGCTTGCCACCGGCGCTATCCCCATCGACCTCAACGATATCGTCAACACCTTCGATACCCCTCGCCCCCATCAGATCACTCTCTCCAGTGCCACCGACAGTCTCATCGACGCCTTCAGAAGAATCAAGTCCATCTTCAACCATCACTTCGACTCCTCCCTCCAGTCTCATCCAGACTCAAAACATCTTTCTGCCGCTCGTCGCTGGTCGGAGCTTTGGCTGGCCGAGTTCGACTGTGCTACTACCTCTTTCCTCCGGATCTCTCATAATCACATCCGTGATGATATCGCTAACGATTCTGAGCCATGATCTGTTCGGATACATAATAATCTAGTCTATATGTACATGTTCATGGATTTGTATAACTCACTTATCAAAATGTACCTTAATCTATCTTTGCTTCCTTTGACCCTTAATCGTTGTCCTCGTGTCTTACATGAGATATTTATCTGTATCTATCTGCTACACAGTTGTCTTTAGCTAGAGCTTGCCCAAAGTTTCCTTTAGTAAATATGTAAAGGTTGATCTTCCCTGGCGGTTTGATCCAATCTGATCATCTGCTATGATGTTCAACAAATCCGATTTTTGTGCCTTTTGCTTGTCCTTAATGGTACCCGTGCATTCAGCCGTTCCAGGAATGGTTGTCAGCTCCAGCCTCCAAGGCTTGGTTTCTGAAATTCAGTGGAAGGTTTATGGCCCAATGCACACCTGCTTGTTGCAAAAACCACACAATTTTCGTGAGACGGTTAGCACCAAGTATATGGGGAATTTGTGTTCCCATCAATTTTCAAGAATCAGCACCGAGATTCCTTCAGAGGTGACCAACATCTCTAAATTCTAGGATGGCTGTATTTCGATCCAAAGTAGGTCAATATGTGCAGTTTTATGATAACAGCCCCTTGGAGCAAACAAAAGCAGTCACATTTCTTGAGTTGAGTCCATGGGTTTGGGCAACTTAACCCAACTGGCAACCGCATTGGAGCAAACAAAAGCAATCACCTCTCTTGTTTGTTGAGTCCAACAACTTAAGCCCGCCTGGTACTTGTTTAGAGAGTGATCGGTCAAGCACACTTTGCACAGTATGGAGTTGGGAGTTTATTGGTGAGATTTGATACAGACAGGTGCCTTCCTCACCCTCTCCCCCCAATTTAATTTTCCCAAGAGAGGTCCTTCATGGTTTTACCAGTTTGGAGCTGTTGACTGTTGCAAGGAGATCTTCTCACTGCGAAATAGGCACGCCCCAATCAGCCTGCTGAGGAGAATACCTCTACATAGGCTCTCCCAGTCACGCGTGTCAATTTACTTGTCACACTGCGTCATGAAGTGGTGTGACGGACTCAGACATCAATACCACTATTCCATCCTGTTTTTTTTGGTCTGGTGCTGGCTGATGTCATGAAAAGCTGGTCAAACACCTAAAATCTCAGAGCTCATCTTCATTTTCACATTTACAACTCACGGTTTAGGAACGGTAGTTAGTTAAACTTATATATGAATAATATTACACTTAAAAAGAAGAAAACATTAAAAAAAATGGAAACTATTGAAGAAAAAAAGTCAACATGGCAACAGCAAAAAAAAAAAAAAAAAAGATGAACCTGTTAGAGGATTGAAGAAAGAAGAAGAAGAAGAAGAGAGAGAGAGATTACAGCTTGATGATATCAGCTCTACACCCGCCTCGAGATGACATGATCGACTCCATCCTCATCTTCGTTAGATTGGGCCAAAGCGCTGCGAGACTTTGGTGATCGAAGCTATGGATGGTGAGATGGGCCGAAGGTGCTGTGCCTCTAGATTGCACAGTGTCTGGGGTTAACGACGACCGTCGAATCGATCGACTAGATGTCCCGGAAGATGTATCAGTAACTTGACATCCTTACCATTATTGGTTTATTATTTTCGAGCACGAAAAAGAAGGCCCAATGGATGATTCCTCGAATACAGATCTGAAGTGTGACTCACCTTAACGAATGCGGTAAAGTTCGTGGGTAGGATCAGGATATCCGCGCCGACTGTGTCGTGTTTGAGTAGGTCTAGATGGGTCACATCCAGGTTAATCGCATCCATTCCGATCCCGATCGCGTGTGGGAAAAGGGGATAAAAGCTGGAGGAAGGTGTTGGGAGTGAGTAGTCGCTTTGGTTTTTAAGATGTCAAAGGCCGTCGATATGGGCGGGGATGAGGCTTACCTGCGTTGTCTCATCACATGCCTACAAGCTCTACAAATAACATTCGTAGCGTTAGGATCTGTCCCCTCTTGAGCAGTCTCCTCATCGACGACCACGGTAGCTTGTTTGAAGAATTCTTCTTTTTTAAGAGGCATCAGGACGTCGACATTATTGATTCCGATGATGACCTCATTGATGCTGATGATTGAAGGATTCGGCAAACAGACTATATTCCTTCCAAACAAGCCGAGTTCCGGATCTTTGATATTCAGGGCGGCTTGTGGATAGTCTACCTGACTGGCCAGTAGATCCCGCGGCGATGGGATCAGGATCACATGCGTCCGTGGCGAACTCGCAACCAATTTATGCAGCCGACTCGAGATCTTTTCGCGGAAAATCGTGCTGGGCATTTGAGTGATGTTCCCGGTTTTAATCAAGGTGTGATTAGTATCTATGAAT